GTAGGGTAAAACTTTGTAATGGATTATGTATTCCCCATACATAACTGGAGACTCAAGGCTTTGGAATTTGGAAGAAATGCCAATTCATCAAAGTTTGGTCATTCTTTTTTATTTTCTTTTGTTTTTTTTAGCTGTTTAGGGGATTTCCTGGAAATAATTGAGTTTCTACTCTTGGACCACAGGTCTTAAATATTCATGGCTTAAAATAAAGAGATTATTAAATATCTCACCATTTAATATCTAGATAATTTTGTCCTATAAAATCCTGTGCAGCAAGTAATTCAAATGGTACCCTATTTATGGCAGGCAAAACTGCTCACTACCATCTGCTTTGCAGTTTTAATAGATGGAGTGTTAACTGCGTGTTGCATGAAATTCATTGCGACTAGGTTAATTAAACGGTTGTGCTTCACTTCCTGCACTCTGGTAATAAGATGACAACCTCATCTGAATTTATTAACCCTTGCCACTTTCAGTGCTATTATCACCCGTTCAACCAGCTTTGGTCAACAAAAATGAAATAAATCACAATAACAGGAGACATAACCATATTGGCTAACAAAATAGATATTGATTAGCATCTTCTAAGGCAAATATGTCAATATAGTCTGTTTTTATTTTCACAAAGGTCGTTGAAATCTTTTGGAGAATTTGCAGTGGGAATAAATTATGATGCAGTAGGTTATTAGAGAAAACCCCAAATCTAATCTCTGCCACTCAGCAACCTAAATAAAGGCTTCAGCCTGGGAAGGTGGGAGTTGTTTGAGCCCTTCGGCTTCCTGCTCTAGCAAGCAGGTATGTCAAGCTCTTCCGCAGTGAGAGCACTTGCCGAGGTCCCAAGGCAAGGGCTGAACACTGAGAGTGCCTCTGGTTCAGGGAATTTCTGTCCTCCTGAGGAGGGGGAGCGTGGGATGAACAGCTCCATTGGTGCCCTCTTCCTGACCAGCCCTGGCATCGGCTAAAACTGTGGTGGTAGCAGATGTGAACACCCCACGTAGCTATTAAAACAGCAAGGGAACTATAGGCATGAGGGATTGGGGTTTGCCTGAGGAGCAAGGCCCTGGTGGAACCATCTCCAGGACCCAGTTCACGGAGCTGGCCTGTTCTCTACCATTTACACTGTTGATATACTTTAAAAAGTCAATTTTAGGCACACACACACACAAAGCTATCTTGTCTGCTTAGCTGAGGTTGCCAGTGGCAAGCGACGTTTTTGGGGGAGGGATTGATGCAAACGCATCAAAGCCATATTCATCACGCCCATCAGATAAGGGCATCTCCAGCAGCATCACAGAGGTCTTTGAAGCCCTCTCTCCCTCCAGCCATCCCCGGACAGCCGTGGTCGCGGCCAGGGCTCTTTCCCACATGGCCACCCGGCTGCTGCTCTGGAAGCAGCTTTAGGCCTCGGCTCGTCCGTAGCGGCCGGCCTTCCCGCCGTGCAGACGCCGACGGCGAGGGCCCGTTGATGTGGTTAGGAGGGGGAGGTCGTGCGGCGGGTGCCGCCAGCGCTGCCACCAGGCCCGGCCGGGTCGGGAGTTCAGAGGGGAACGTGGCCGGGCAGGCATCCGGGGCGGTCCGTTGGCCACCGTAACGTACAAGCTTTGATTTATGCTGAGGGCTGTGCTCAGAAGTAAGTTAATGACGTATATCAGAGTTTGTAACTGCCTGTTTGAGGGAGGTACGTCTTTCTCAAACTGCCCTCATAGTCAAGAGACCACCGGGCTTCTCTCCTTCTGCCCCCTCAGTTCAGCTCCCAGCCCCAGGCCTTGTCCCACACGAGCGAGTCAATCCCGCCATCCCTTTCTCAGCTTTGTGAGGCAGTTGGGAGACCGACAACTTTGACTTCACTGATCCATTTCCCAAATAAAGGGAGTTTGACCCCAACATCAGTGGATGGGGTAACCAGGTCTGGCAGGTTTGCCAAGAAACACTGCTCGGCCAAGGCCTATTCAAAGGTGTGTTGGTTCCCTGTGTTTGTGGAAGGACATTGCCGTGGGTGCGAAGGCACAGCAGCCTGAGCCAGGAACTGTTACCACAGGCATAATTTACCTGTGAATAGGAATGGAGTTAACATTATTTCTGAGTTTTCAGGCTTTCAGATATTTATGTTCCTTGATTATTCTCATCGTTGCATTTAAACTATTTTAAAAAGAAATGAACAGCAGAACCTTTATCCGTCTTTGCCTTTGATTTTAATCTTCATTTAGACTCCACTTTCACTGAGATAACTGCATAGATATTAATATGCCTGAAAGTCTTGTGGTGCTGCTCTAGTTTGAATTCTGCTTAAAAAAAACACTTCTCTTTTACAGGGTAGTAACTTTTCTGGTAAGTGCTATTCAGATGCTTTAAAGTACGTGGTATGAAGCTATCGTGGTTCCCAGATTCACTTATCTCTCCTGGCTCTCCCCACAAGCTATAAAAGCAATCAAAATGCTGGCAAAAGTACACCGTGTTCTAGTGTAAAAGAGGCAAGTTAGTTACACAGACAGTGCCTGCT